CATATTATAATGTTGACTATTATAAAGATTTTTTTAATGCTGAAATGAGAAAATAATTTCCCCATTTGAAATAGAATGTTCTTTGCAGCTGATGCATTCATTTGAAGTAAAGAAAAAGTACAGAATAATGTTTCTTAGATCAGCAGCTCTTAATCTCTTTGAGTCACTTGAAAAAAATAGTTGCAAGATTTTTGAGAGTATCTCTTGTAGAGGACATTAAAAATAGTAGAGTAAAGATCAACAGGAAAAATACAGCCTCTCTGAAATCTGGAATCGAGAGACCTGGAAAACAGCATTTTAGAAAAGAAAGGAAGAGATAACAATTGTAAATATCTAGCCACTTAATGTTAGTGCACCCAGTTTCATGAAACAAAAGTTCTGCAGTTAGTAAGACAGACAGACAGACAGACAGACACTAATACAATCACAGTGGGGATTTGAATGTCCCATTCACACAACTGGAGAGCTCAATCAGAAAAGAATCAACAAACATTAGAATTAAACCATATCAAATGAACTTAATAGTCCCCTACAGAGTGTTTTATGCAACAACAGAATACTAATTTTTATCAAAATCACATGGAACTCTTTCCAAAATAGATCATACCTTAGGCCATAAAGTATGCTTAAATAAATACAAAGGAAATGAAATATTCTACTACATACTATTGAATCATAGTGAAATGAAGCTAGAAATCAACAGCCAAAAGAGCCACAGAAATGAAATAAACATATGAAATTAAAATGATACATTGTTCAGTAACCAATTAGCCACAGAAGAAATCAGGAAAGAAAGAGAAAAGTTTCTAGAGTCAAATGACAATGAAAGCATAACGTATCAGAGAAAACTTAGAAAGAATGGTTGCAAATAAGGGTAAAGTTTCCAGAAAATAAGTAGGCATGTAATTTATATCTTTTACAATTTTGAAGTTCTTTTGCAGAGTTCTATTTTTTTTGAAGTTTTTAGTATACTTCCCATAAGTTTGGCAGGCTTATTTCAGCTCCTTTATCGCCAAACCTGGGGGCAAGCACTGCTTAGTTTTTCTGCCTTTTCTTTATCTGCGGTGAGCAAGGTATAAAGATGTCTGCTGCACTGAACTTTGAACTTCACATTATGCTTGCTCTTTATCTTGACAGACCTGGCATCCTTCCCTTTGGCTGTGAACAGGAGATGCTTGGTTTCCTCGATTTTTTGAGGCGTGGCAGTGAGGCTCTCAGAGGATGTGTATGTGTGCCCTGGTTCAGATTGCCCTGGATTCTCCTCTTTTGTAGAGTTCTTAAAGTGCATCCATGGATTTCAAGTTATACACCAATGATTAAGGACACTCTATAAATTGAAAAGGCTACCTTTGGGGAGAACATGGCGGACAAATAACAGCAGCCACGGAGGCTCTCTGAGATTACCAGTTTAGAAGCCAGGAGTGGTGCCGCGTGAGGAGTCCCACGCGAGGGGAGATTTACCCTGCCGACCCAGGAATGAACTAAGCTGAGAGAAACCAACTGGAAATGCAATCCTGATGCTATAACAGGAACAGATAAAATCTCAGTGTGGAAGCTGGATCCCGCGCCATTGGAAGCCGCGATTTGAATTTCCTGCTGCTGATGCTGCATCCCAATCCACACGGCAGGGAGAGAGGCGGGCCAAAGCTCTGAGAGCAGGAATTGGCCCAAACGGCATTGAGAGCGGGACTGGCTCGACCTGCAGTGAGTGAAATGGGGACCCTTTCATAGACTAGGAGGCTCCAACAGAGGACATTCTGGGAATGGGCAGACTAGCTGGAACATAGCCCTGCAGTGACTTTAGTCGCATATTCCCCTCTCAAGTGGGAGTGGTGGGGAGCGCTTGGCCTGGTGACGCCGTGGACTAAGATCCTGTAGGCTAGCCCAAATCAGGTCCCTGTGCCTGGCAGTGCACCCTAGCAGTGAAACATTCAGTAGGTTGACCTGGAGGGGTGGGCCCAGCAGAGGCTGCCCAGGTCTGTGTCTCCCTAGTACATTGCAGTGGGAGGGAGCACCTAGCCAGCAGATTCAAACAAACTGCAACAGACAAAGAGAAAAAAAAATACTGAGCCTCCTACATACGCTTGTATGGAAGGAACAAAAAGTATGGGAAAAGGGAGCAACAAGAAAGGCTCCTCAGTTCCCAATCCTGAGAACACTGATCCAGGAAAGGTAAAAGCAAAAGAGAATGAAGACAGAAAACATGCAATATCAGACACGACACCTATAGATATAAAACGGTATCTCTGGAGCCTCATAGACGAGTTTAAAAATGAAGTATTTAATGAAATAAAGCAAGAAATAAGTAGAATAGTTAGAGAAATGCTAAGCACCACCCAAGAAAAAGACAGATGGTGGAATGGAAGAACAGAAAAAAAGGGGAGAATTGTTTGATGGAGAAAATAGAGAAAACATAGAATACGTGAAGCAGGTTCACAGAGATTACCAGGAAACTAAAAACTCTATTGAAAGATGGCATAACAGCTTGAAAGAAACTAAGGATAGATTATCAGAACTGGAGGACAGATTTGTAAGGTGGGAGCATGAAATGAAAAACTTCATAAAAATAGCAAGAAAACAAACAGCAATAATACAAAGACAAGAAGATGATAAGAGGATCTATAACTTAAGAATTAAGAACATAAAAGAAGAAGTAGGGACACAAACAAATGGACTACAAAAGTGATTCACAGAAATAATCCAGGAGAATTTTCCTAATTTAGCAAAAGATAAAGATACTCAGATGTATGAAGCATTCAGGACCCCAGCCACCTACAACCCAAACAGAGCTACACCCAGGCATATAATAATCAAAATTCCAGAAATCCAATATAAGAATGGAATATTAAAAGCCATCAGAGACAAGAAACAGATCACTTACAAGGGAACACCCATCAGAATTACAGCAGACTTCTTGGCACAAACTATCAAATTACGAAGAGCGTGGGGGGAAATAATTCAAGCTTTGAAAGATAATAACCTCCAGCCAAGATTGATATATCCTGCACAACTGTCCCTAGAAGTTGATGGAAAAACAAGGTGCTTCCAGGATAAAGAGGAAATAAGGGAATTTGCAACCACCAATTCAACTCTACAGAGATTACTGCAGGATATTCTAAAAATGAAAAATACCAGTATTCCAGAAACAGTGGCAGAGCAGCCACAGTGAATGGAGCAGAAAGTGAAATGAAGAGGACAAACTGACAACTAGTGACAGAAAAAAAGCTCAACAGAAATGAGGCAGAGAAGGTTGGATGGTAGGAACAGCCATTTTGGAGAAAACAAGACATTGTAATAGGTAGTGCTGATTTAATATCCTCTTGTTTTGAAGTCCCATCAAGCTTTTGTTCTTCTGTCTCCATCAGTTTTAATGTGTTGTATCTTATTGGATTTTATTATATGTGATAATATAAACAAAAACTTTTATAGACAAGGAGATTATACAGAAACCATTGTTTATTTTCTGTTAGTTGATTCTAAATACCCTGTAATTCTGTCATTCTCTTGAATGGTTTTACATTGTCTTGATATGTTTGATGCTACAGTATACGAAGTTATACCCAAAGATTTTAAGGGAAGAGACACTATGGTAACTACTATTATGTCAAGATTATATTGTAGTGAAACACTATTTTGCTTAAATGGCTATGTTTTGATCTGCACTGTTTTGTTGTTATGCCCTCTTTTTTAAATCTCAATCTCCTTTATTATCTACTTTTTCATTTTTGTCCTTTTAATTAAGGGAAAAATAAATAAAATATAGCAGGATATATTATAGTAACCCACTTTGATTTCCTATTAACTTGATTTGAAACTCTGTATTGCTCTCACCATCTTGTTTTGACTGATTTTCCTCTGTTCTGTTATGCTAGATAGTACCAAGTTTGAAAGTCTAGGCAACAACTATGAAGACAATAAGATTCATTGTGATGCCCATTTTGGTTGACTATTATCTTCTTTTGAAGTCCTCTAATGTCTCCAATGTTTTGGTTTTATTGGTCTTATTCTTTACTGTTTTGTTCAATTTTATTATAACTGATGATATAGGCAATTCTTTTTAAGATAACAAGAGGCATTATGGTAACCATTGTTGATCACCTTGCATTTTGTTTTTACATTATGTATTATGTCCATCCTTTTGATTTGACTGACTCTGTCCTTGTATGTCACATTTTGGTTTTACTTTCTTAAAAAAAAATAATAAGAACTGTGGGAGTAATAAAACCCAAAATGTGTAATTGTCATTGTACAAAAAAAAAAAAGGAAAAAAAAGTTCTCTAAAAGATATAACTGCATATATATTTAAGTGTATAAGATAGATAACCATATTACTGAGTTTTGTTGGATTATTGAACAAAACTGTTTGCAGTGTCACTTTGAAAGTCCCCTCTACATGCTTTAATTTTGTAACTTCAACAACTATTTCTAAGATGACAACATGTAATTAACTAGTGATTTCCTACTGTTTATTTTTTTTGAAATTCTCTATAACTTGTACACTTTTTCTGTTTTTTTTCCTCCTTAAATAAAATTTAAAAAAAAAGAAAAGGCTACCTTTGTTGTATGTATACATAATTTACATGGCTACTTTCGCTAGATTTGGGGTACAGAAAGTTCCCCATCATTCTGATTGTTACTAAGAATTTCTTCTCCCTTATTATACTACAGCCTCATTCATTTTGGCTCCATAGGAGTGACCTAGTCCTCTTCTTAGAACTGGTCTTGGTCTTGTTGTAATATTGTTTGTGGTAGGCTCTGTGATGACAGGGTAGGGAATAGGGAAGAGAGAGGACAGAAGGAATGCAAAGGAGGAATCGTGTCCAGTCTACAGGTCTTACTTCCCCCCATAGCACAAAGCTTGAATAAGAGTGAGTTTTCCAAGGAAGAGAGAAGGCAGGAAAGTAAAACCCTAATTCATGAAATTATTTCAGTTGGGTTATGCACAACTTAATTCAAAGTGAGACAGACATCTTGGACAAATATTATTTTGACCATCATACCTTAACGAAGCATTTGAGAGTTGAACAAAAAGATATCCCAATATCAGCAAGACTCCAGCTGTTCCTCAGAGCAGCTCCAGCATACACTAACTCCAGATAGTGCCTGCCACGTATGTCCTCAGAGAGAGGAATGTGGAAATAATCCTGAAGAGTGAATAGGATATTATGAAAACAGTTCATCGCCACACTGCTGTACTAGAAATCAGTCTCTCCTCTCTTTTTCCTCTGATCATTATAATAATTTTGGAATAAAGAGGAAGGAAGAGGACTTAGTGCATTAACTTAGAATCTATAGACTTCCCAAAAGTTTAAAGACAGAATTTATTTAAGTGGAAAAATCTACATATTAACTTTTAGTAATTTTAAATGAAATTAAGATTTTCTTTTTAAGAAGCAAAGAGAAGTCACAGTAGTCAGTTGTTCCTTTGTCATCCACAAGAATCACAGATCATTTTAGGTCACGTTACTGATACTGTATGTACCTCAAAATATTATTTATAATGATCATTGCTTTGACAGTATGACAGTTATTAAGTGGACTGCTAAAACTCATTAATGTGTTAATAAAAAGCTCTATGACCCATGCTACTATGTATATCACAATTTTATTATTAGTTGAAAATTATATTTCCATATAACTATCTTTTTTATTATACATTTTTTATTTTGTGAATTTAAGGACATTTTGAGAAGTAGTTCATAGGCTTCTCTAAACTTCCAATAGGATACGTGACACATGAAAATTAAGATTCCTTGTGTTGGATCAAAATTGTAGCAATCTACAAAATGTCATGTAACTATGACTCAATATATGCTCCTCAGTAAACGGGAATGACAAACTCCAAGTTTAGTAACTTGTAGTTGGAAGGTAAATACTGTGCTTCATTTTTTATTTTATGGTGGATATGATTTTAAGAAATTGATAAGGGTAATGAATGCTCCCAAGTTGTTTTATATTCTGGGGCTATGATTCTAGGCAAGGCAACTTCTTTGAGTTACCACTTTCTCTGGAATAGCCTACAAGTTTGGTAAAGTGCTCTCTGCCTCCAGAACCCTTTGGTTCTTTATATTCATTTGCTTATCAAATAAGGTATCCACTGGACAACAGGCACACTCCACTTGCGTGGCCTAAAGTTAGAGTCACGTTTTTATCCTCTTATAAAAAATTGTAGTAATATTATATGGCCCATGAGCATCCTACAAATTCCTAAAAAGAAGCAAAATGTTTTACTCCTTAAGACTTCACTGGTTCAGTTTGGTTTCTGGTCTAACCCCTCCAATGTTTTTCTATTCTTATCAATCTATTGTATAAACAAATAGTCCTATTTTTCAAATCATGTTGGTTACCTGTGCATACATAGTATCTCTATTCTATGTACATTCTAAAGTACAGTGAGTAATGAGAGTTAATACACATTTCAGTGGTGCAAGAACAAAGTACATACCTTTATCTTCAGCTTGAGAGCTTCCACAGTTTCATTGGCTGAAACATCAAATGGTTCAAATGATCCTTCAAAAGCTATGAAAATCCTCATCATGTAATTACCTCATCAAAAACAAAACAGAACCAAAATAAAAAAAAAAAGAAAGAAAAAATCTCCTTTATGAAAGATCCTGCCAGGGAGCTGGAAAAAGTTCCCATATGCAATTAAGGACAAACAGCCAGAGGTTGCTGTCACTGTCTAACCTCAAAGGTGAGTTGGGGGATTCTGAAGACCCAGTTCCACACCGTCATAGTGTTGGGCAGCACAGGCAGCAGCTGTGTTGGAGGAAACGTTTCTCTGCTGAAGGCAACAGTCAACAGCCGTGCTGTTTGTATTACGGAAACTGCATACTTGACAATGGTTGAGGCAAGTGTGAGCAAGCCTCAAATGTGTGATATAAAAATGCTACACATAAATAACACTTTGGTGGTGTGAGCACCATCCCCTTACTCTTGAATTTATGTGTCCTCACATACAGCTGGTTGGAGAACCCTTAAAAATAGACCTTTGTTTGTGTGTACTGACATAGGGTGAAGCAAAGCAGAGTTGATTACATGGAATGATTTAAGCCTGAAAGTTTTCTGTAAATAGCTCTGAGCTGAAGTATTCTGGTTTCCATAACGACTTTGTGTACTTATTCTCTGGCAGTGTTTCTAATCCTTCCGTGGGATACAATACTCACATGTCCAGAGAGATGAATGTGTAGGCAAATAGCAAATATAGTTTTCTCTTCTCATCCCTGTGTAATGGAACCTGCTGAATAGCTAAACAGTAATACACATATATTATTTCTTTGGTGTTGTTAAGTAGTATTTCAAACCCACGTCAATATGAGAATAAAGATATTAAAGACTATCACTCAAGCTTATAGAGTAAGCACTTTAGTAGAAATCAAAATATTCTCTTTTGAAATCCTCAGAGGATACTGTCAGGTCTTGGAGTAGACTCCAACCCAGCCAAGAGAGATAAACTGAAGCGGATGTGTTGTTTACACCTGCAGGAGCACAGCAACAACAGTAATCCAGCAGTTTCCCCAAGCAGCCCAGCCTGCAAAGAGCTCAACCTACGAAACAAGACACATGCTGTGCCTGCCAGCAAACCTTGTATACAGCACTGCACTCTTCATCAGCTAGCCTTAGCCCTCCTACTCAGAGACTCACAATTTTGCATCCCTCTCAGCAATGCCTCCTTCCCCTATAAGCTTCTCTATAAAATGTGCTCTTACACCTTGCTCAGGCTCAATGGTCTTTTTGTCATTGGCTCAGCTAATGACAGGATCTGCAATAAATCCTCACACATTGCTTAAACTCTGCCTGTCTCAGTGGCCTCAACTGTGCCTTGGTTTACCCTAACAGATATTCTTGATTTAATGTACTTATGTTGGATTATCTTTTCATACGTGTAAATCTTGCTTTCTTTCTGAAATATGTCCTGACCTAGGACAGAACTGTCCTCTTGCCTTCCTTTTTATTCTTTAAAAACATTTTTAAAATTAGTGCTTGTTTGTTATGTGGGTTTTGTTTATTTTTATTTTTATCCTTAACAGCAATTAGCTGTTAATGTCATGTGAGATACGTAAGACATGTTCAGTAAATGATAACTGGTTGATTGATTCTCTTCTGATTCCCAGCCTGAGTTTCAACAGTAAAAATTTTGAGCAAATGTGAAGCAGACAGAAGGTAAAAGGAGTTCTTTATAGCGATTACTCTTCTTTGTCTCATATTTTCACATGCCTTGCAACATCATCATGACTTCTTATGCTGCCTCATTTTGATAGAAAGTGTAGTGATGCAGGATGTAGTTGATGTTTTGTTGCCTTGACAACACATTTTCTTACCTACCTTCTGCTGCTGTTGTAGCTGTCGACTGCTAAAGGCTCACACTCACAACCTATTTTCCAAAAAACTGGCCTCAGTTAATGAGAGCCACCTTGCCAGAAACTTTAGGGACCTTCTATCTGACTGTGTGCTAAATGACTGCCAAAGGTCCACCCTATTATCTTACGTTACAACAACTCAGCTGATTATCCTCTTACATTTGGCTACAGTTGGACTTTAGCTGCATCTTCTGCCAGCTCTTTTTCTTTCTTAAGCCTGATTACCTCTCTCCATTTCTAGTTGTTCCAAAACAGTATTGACATGTAACTGACATGGATCCAAACCTTTGTCTCAGGCTCTCCCACCGGATAGCTTCATCTTACATCTTTATCTTAAAGAAGCTTATTTTAAAGAAGCTTGTATGTTTTAACAAATGATAACTAACAGATTTGTAGCTTTCCAAACTGCATATTTATTTATTTATTTATTTATTTATTTATTTATGTGGCAGTGGGGATTGAACTCAGGTCTCACACCGAGCCCTTCATATTTATTTCTTTTCTTTTTCTTTTTCTTTTTTTTGTTTTCTTTCTTTCTTTCTCTCTCTCTCTCTCTCTCTCTCTCTCTCTCTCTCTCTCTCTCTCTCTTTTTCTTTCTTTCTTTCTTTTTGGTACTGGGGATCAAACTCATGACCTCATACATGCCAGGCAGTTGCTTGTGCTGCTGGGCTAAATCCCTTGTCCTCTGCAGGTTTATTGAGAAACTTGTGGGGTGTTTTGTTTTGTTTTGTTTTGGTGTGCAGGGATTAGACCCAGGGCTTCATGCATGCTAGGCAACTGCTCTACTGCTGAGCTATATCTTAAGCACTATACCTGCATTTTTGTACACTATTGTAGACTTCCCTTTTGAGCAACTGTTCCACTCAAAGAACTAAGCAATCAAATACTTTTTTTTTTGTTTTGTTTTGTCTTTTTGAGATAGGGTCTCACTTGCTATGCAGTTCAGACTGGTCTTGGGCTCACTTTGTGGCCTAAACTGGTCTCAAATTTGCAATGACCTCTTGAGTGCTGGAATTACGGGAGTGCACCGCCATGCCCGGCAAATCCTTTTATTGGTTTTTTTTTTAATCCTTCTTTTTTGGACTGAAGGAAAACATGATTTTGTGATTTGAACTGTAAGAGGGAAGTTAGAGATTGTGACTCAGTCAGCTTTCTCCCATGACTGAGAGGCAGCAAAAGCTAACCACCACCACCACCACCACAACAACAACAAAATAAAAGACAAGGAACAAAGAGACAACATCCCCTGGTTTCTACTGTTCTTGAATTTTTTGAGCTATTCTATCTCTACTTGATAAATTACTTTAATTTTGCTTAAGCATATGTTCTCAAAAAATTTTTGATGAGAGATAAAAGTTGGAAGAATAAGGAAAATTATCTTCAATATAGGAGATGTGATGATAAAGAAAATTATGGCAATGAAGTTCTTGTGACTATGAATAATGAAGTAATCTAAGTAGGTATTGTAAAGAAAATTTTAAGGAACTGATATAAAGAACAAAGAAAGAAAATACTATATTTGTAGGCCAGGTGAGGTAGTGCATGCCTGTAATTCCAGTATTCAACAGGCTGAGACAGGAAGATTGCTGTGGGTTTGAGGCTAGCCTGGGGTATATAGTGCATCCAACTCAGCCTGAACTACAAAATAAGGCCCTGTCACTACAAAGCAAAATAAAGAAACACAAGCATTCAAAGTCGGAAATTAGCAGTTAACTAAAAAAGAGAAAATACTACACTTATAAATAAGATATTAGGAATAAGCAAGACATGTGTATAAGCTTTATAAAAGGCGTAGAAAAATTTGGATGGTACAATCAGTGACTAATATTATTGCTGTCTAATCTCTCCTGGCTTTCAAAGATGGAAAATATTTATTCAAGTCTTATTTCTTTGCCTAAGTATGGCATTCTCCCCATTATTGCTTAATCCTTTAGTTTCCTCTAAAAGACTGAAATAATTACAAGCTCAAATTAATTTAAGGGTGGTGAAAGCACCTGTCTGGCAAGCAAGAGGTCATGAGTTTGGGTGGACTGTGGAGTTCTAAGCAAGCAGGGGGACGCCACCGGTTCCACAGGCCTGGCGGCCTGGCGTAAGTGTCCCATGCACTTTCCTCTGAGCCCAGCTAGTTTGAGACCCTCTCTCGGCCCTGGCCAGGGAACCTCTTGGCTTCCAGTTACAATGGAGCAGTACTGCAGGTCCAGGGAGCTGGCATCAGTCTCGCTTCTCCTGGCTGTGTTTGGCAGGCTATGGAATGCTAAGCAAGCAGGCAGGCACCATCGGTTCCAGAGGCTGGGCTTGAGCCAGCCTGCTCCACCCCCAGTGACCCTCTATCAATCAAGGGAGAACTGGGTGCCAGAGTCCCAGGAGCTGAGGGCATAGAAGATATTTTCAACAGATCCTGAGGAAGCCTTAGAATAATACTCAAAACACTTGAAACACAGAAATATAGGAAAATGACAAAACAAAAGACCAAATTAAAATCTCAAACCTCCAGCACATCCAAAGAAACCTTAGGTGCGATGTACATAGAAGAAAATATATGCCATACACCTCAAATATCAGACATAACAGCAACTGAAATAAACAAGCAACTTTGGGAAGCTTTAAAGGAATTCAAACTAGAAATAATCTCCCAGGTAAAAGAAGAAATGATAAAAGAAATGAAACAGATGCTGCATATATCTAAAGAAGACACAGTTTAAAAAATTGGAGGAACTAAACAAAAAGATAGAATCCCTGGATGAGCAATATAAGAAACAAACAGATTATATATAAAGCAGGTGCACAGACATATACAGGAAATAAAAAATTCCACTGAAAGCTGTAAAAACCACCTCAATGAAAGTGAAGATAGAATTTCAGACCTTGAAGACAAGATTGCAGCTAGTGAACAGGAAAGGAAAGATCTTTTAAAAATAACAAGGAATCAGGAAATAACAATTCAACAACTGCAAAATGATGCAAAGAAAAACAACATAAGATTGATAGGGATTAATGAAAAAGAAGGGGATGACATAAAAGACATCAAGAGGATATTTAGAGAAATAATAGCTGAAAATTTCCTAAGCATGAAATCAGAAACTGACATCAGGATTAGTGAAGCATATAGAACTCCAAATAGCCATAACCAAAATAAAAGTACACCCAGACATATAGTAATCACCATCCCAGAAATCCAAAATAAGAATAGAATGTTAAAAGCTGTCAGAGACAAAAGACAGGTCACTTATAAAGGAAAAGCTATCAGAATCACAGCAGACTTCTCAGCACAAACAATAAAGTCAAGAAGAGTGAAGTATTCCAGATGCTAAAGGAAAATGATTTCCAACCTAGACTGTAAAACTGTACCCTGCAAAACTTTCCTTCAAAATGGATGG